GGAGGTTGTTGAATTTGGCTTCACAGTTAAGGAACTGAGTAGCAGCAGGCTTGTACCTCCCTGGATGCCCTGCTCTGAGCAACTGGAACTGCTCTGTGCAAGCATGGGCCTGCAGACACTATATTGCATGCCCAATTGAGAGTGCACAAGCATGCGCACAGGAGCACCAAGTTTTGTCTTATGTCCCTATGGAAGAACTTGGGTTACTGTAAGGTAAGTAAAGTAACCTCTTCTTGCCATGCAACAAGTCCATTTGGTGAGTCCCAACTATCAACAAATGCTAGAATTCACATTTTATATGCTGCCCAAATAAAGTGATAAGCACCACTGATGCTTAGATTCTGCTTCAAGTGGTCTTGCAGCATTATGTGCAGCTTAGCTCTCATGTTCCTGGCTAGTTAGGACTCAGCTCTAGCACCAAAAACCTTATCAGCTGGCAATTAGTTTTAGCATCTCTCTTCGATGTCTAATATAAAGTCTCCTTGAACCCTTAGGCCAGTGGTCACCAACCTGTCGATCGCAGTGGTTGTGGGCGCAGGCTGCGCATGGAGACCCACTACCCCCTCTCCCCCAGAGACATGCCAGCCACTTCCAGGACCGGCCTGGGGCTATGGCAGGCAGGCAGCCTGCCTGAGCCCATCTACGCCACCGACCGGAAGCTGCCTGTGGTATATGCCTCCTGACCGGAGCCTGCACTTTGCACCCCAAACCCCTGCCCCAGCCCTAAGACCCCTCCTGCACCCAAACTCCCTCCAAGAGCTTGCACCCCAAACCCCTGCCCCAGCCCTAAGCCCCCTCCTGCACCCAAACTCCCTCCAAGAGCTTGCACTCCTCACTCCTGCCCCAGGTTTAGCCAATGCAGTCCCCATAGTTGAGATTGTTACACTGATTTGTGACAATCCCTGAAGGATTTTGGATCTATAAACCACACAGGACACTAATAAGTAAAACTCATGAAATGTCCAGTGGATTTTATGAGATTAGGTGCAGTGTGACCACATGACCCCTGCACCCAAACTCCCAGAGCTTGCATCCCACACTCTTGCACCTCAACCCCCTGCCCCAGGTTCAGCTTGGAGCCCCCTTCCACACTCCGAACCCCTTGGCCCCAACCCAGTTAAAGTGAGTGAGGGTGGGGGAGAGCGAGGGCAGATCCTGGGTTGCTCTTAAATTCAAAAAGTGATCTTGTGCATAAAGAGGACACTCCTTTAGGCATAAGGTTTTAATCACTTAAGACTAACTCCTGTAGTTGACAACAGCACTTGGTTTCTTTCACGAGCAAGACTTATTGCATCTGGTGATAAATTAGATATATGCTACTTGAAAGAGAATTTAGGAAGTAGCTGCAGAATGAAAGCAGATTGAAATTTCTCAAAATAAGCCCTTTTGGCAGACCAAGTCAGAAACATCTCCTTAATTTCACTGTTTATTTTAAAAATAAATTTATTTTAGACAATCAAAAACAAAATTATGTACAATATATACATTGGGTAAAGTTTTTTTTAACAAATATACACTTCTACAGTTTCGCTAGGTGCTTACAAGAGTTTCATAAGTCATGTTATAACTTCGTGTCCATTATAACATTACCATCCTTGTCCTTAACTCTTACTCTCCCACAGACATACTTTGTTTCCTGGTGTCCATTCGCATACACAGTCTTGACAGTGCCATCTGGATATTCACGTCTCTTGAACTGTGGTGTATGCAGCTCTCTCTGGCCATTGTTAAATTCTATAGTTTTGCTTCCATCTCTGTATTAAATAAAGTGTATACAATTAAATATAAAATAGACTGACAGGGCCAGCCTTAAACTGAAATTCCAACACCATACTAAAAGTTAGTAGGCAGGGGTTTAATTGAATGTAGAAACTTCGTAAACATTCTCAAAGAGCATGCACTGTTTTTCCAGAACTTTATAGTTGTCAAAAACAAACTTTCATTAAATCACAATAAAGTTGATAAATACCATCTCAGCTGATCACTAGTGTTGCAGTTAATTTTAAACAATACTAAAGCTGCATTCTGAAGGCAATTTAAAAAAAAAAGTTCAGAGAGGCTGTCTTAATAGTTAAAGCAAGGAAGGAGAGGTAGAGATCACTGAAGTGTAAAAGTATGGGAATCATTAGCAACATGCATCTTTGGAAAGTTTGTTCTTGATTTAGTTAAATCAAGGCACGGAATATAGCTTACCATCCTATTTGAAGCATTGGAAGGCCCAAATAAATTTGTCCCTGATTCAGGAAAATTATTTAAGCATGTGCTAAAGTGCTTTCCTGTTTCAGGGCCTATATTAGTACATGCGATTAAATAAATGAATGCTTGGACTCCTATCTCTTAAAAGCAGATTACTAGATGTACTTTGTGTAAATACATTATTCAGTATAAAATGCTACATTTCTTCTATATATCAGACATGATGTATCAAACATTTTCAAGTGTAAGCTTCTCGAGCTGAATAAGGTTTTAAAAAGTCTTTTCTATTACTAGTGGATATACCACAGTTATACACAAATATTCATTTTTCATCTTTTCATACAATATATCCATCTTAACTTGAAGACAAGCACTGTACACAGAAAATGAGTATTTAAGGAAGGGTGGATGAACTTCAATGTGCCAAGAACTCTCTCACCCCCCACCCATTGTGTGGGAACCTGTAGGGTATATTTAAAGCAAAAATTTACCTTTGCACACGAACAATAGTGCCATCTGGAAAAATGCTTTCCTCTCTCCCATCCATAAATAAATTCTTAATAGTTTGGTCAGGAAACGTAATTTCTTTCTTTCCATCAGGGTAATGCTTTTCTGTAACAATGTGCATATTTTGTTTCAAAATAACTATAGAAAGTTTTTATATAAAAATTAAAGTATACAGATAAAAGGTTCATAGTTTTTACCTATTTGCCCATTTGAGAAATGCAAGACCTCTAACCCATCAGGGTATGTAGTATGAGTTGTCTGGGCATCTGCATAATAGTAAATCTGTAGAGAAGAATAGATCATAAGTGTCTTAAGAAAATCTGGCCATATAAACTGTTGGAAAGATAATTTGGATACATACCACTCTTTGATCGGGCATAACTTGTTTCACATCCCCATTAAAGAATGTTACAGTTATGGTCTTTCCATCCGAACTCATTTCTTTCCGTGTTCCATTAGGGAAAAATATAAGATGACAGCCATTTTTTAAAACCTTTTCAACCTAAAAGGTAAATTACATAAAAGTGGATGTTCAGCAATAAAACTGGTAAAGTTTTCAACAACAATTTCAGTTAAAATTAAATTTGGCCATTTTAGCAGTTTGACAGTTCTAGCTATTGACAGGTAAACCAGCATTAGATGAAGAATATTTGTCTGACTTTTGCCCAGAATTTAAGACTGAGCTCTTGGAGAGCCAAGGTTTGTTTGCACTTCTCATCCAATCCTGAATTTCCATAACTTTCCATTGTCTGGTTTGATCCAATAATAGTAATAAAATGCAGCCAGAGATGCTGTTGTGGAACCAGAAAGCAATACACAGGAATAGCCATTTATGAATTTGTCAGCCACATCCCTGAAACAGGTTTCAGAGTGGTAGCTGTGTTTCTCACACTGTCAGACCATTTCTCCAATAAGCAAAGAAACTAGTTTCTTTTCCCTTAATTGTATAAATTCTTGTTAAATTGAGCATCTGGCCCAAGGACGTATTTATTTTAAATAGAGGTTTGAAATATTATTTGTAATATCATAGTACTCAGGAGCCTCAGTCATGTACATTGTACAGCACCTAACCTAACAGTCAAACAGAATAAAAAGACAGTCCCTGACCCAAAGAACTTAAACTAAGTATAAGACAAAAGACAAAGACTGATGGGGTGGGGGGAAGGATGGGAACGAATGAGATCCTCATTTTCCTTTTTTTGCTGGTTTGGTCATTTCCAATTGGACTCCAGAAAGAAACCATCTTTGTGTATATATGGAACAGTTTACAACACACAATTTTTATGAAATAGTGATTTAGGTATTTAGATTTTAACAACATTTATCTTAGACTAACTGCCTCACAAATGAAAGGGACACCCACCCAACAGCCCCATTTATAAATTGAACAAGAGAGGCATCGCAGCCCTAACAAAGATGAGTTCCCCTGGCAGCGTGAACTAATTACCCAGATTTATTCTCTGTAGCCTCTTAAAGGAAATCTGATCCTACCTTTCCATCAGGATAGTTAATTTCTCCCTGTATTTCTTCACTGCCTGTAGACACAAGAGTAGGGGGCTCTAATGGCACACATATTTCAGTAGGGGACATGTCCTGAAATGAAAATATTTCTCTAGTAAGCAACTGACAGAATGCAACCCTGTATTAATACCCTCCACACTATTGTAGTAATCATTGTACAAATTATGCCCTGTTAGGTATCATTTAAAAACTAATAACTTGCTGTCAATAATATCATGATGAAATGTGTGCATGTAAAATTTAAATCATGACTGAAGTTTGTTTATCAGACAAGTCTGGGGAGGGGATAAACCTGTTTCTCAAAGACAAAGGACAAGCCTCTTGCCACCTACAAAATGGCCATTCTTTGGCAAGGAAGGGGGGTTGGAACAAATATCTACATCTTAGCAACAACGGCATGAAACCTCTTTCACCACAAGACTCCAGCCTCACAGCGGAAATGAACTTCATTTAAGGGTAGCCTTCAGGAAAACGTATTTCAAAGGGGGACTGACCTATAAAGTGAGGGCACAAAAACACCCTAAGGTATCTCTCCCTGTCCACCTCTCACTCTTTCACCAAGATGACCAAAGAAACAGCCTTTGGGAGCAAATCCTGGCCGGAGAATTTTGGTCAGCAATGTTACTGGGAACGTGGTAAAAGATTTCACCTTGAACCAAGTCTACAGTGTTACGCTTAAGTACTAGGAAGCATTTTATCTTTATTTCTCTTGTAACCATTTCTACTTTAATGCCTTATACTAACATAAAACCTCTCTCTTTATTTAATTACAAACTTGTTTTATTCTTTGATCAAAACTACTCCAGTGTTGTCTTTAAACTGAATTGTGTGGGTAACTCCATTTAAAAGTAACAAATTGTTGGATCTGGATCCCCTTAGAGGGGCAACAAACCTAAAATATCTGAACTGTCCAGGAGAAAGCTGGACAGGGCAGAAAATATTTTTGGGGGAAATCTGGGACTGGAAGTGTGTTGGGATCACCATGCAAGTGGTAACCAAGGCTCGTGGAAGCTAGTGTGTGACTGGACTGCGCTGGCAGGCTGCAGCTATACATAGCCACTTAGGGTGTGACCTGCATGCTGTTTGTTAGGGCTCAGGTTGGGAGCTTACAGCACCAAAACATTGTGAGACACCTCAAGTTGCAAGGCAGGTGGCGATACAGCCCCTCACTGGTCTGGATTGCAACCCAGAATGTGACAGCATTAAATCAGGCTCCATTTTTGTGGGATTTTTCTGGAACATAAAGATAACCTAACTTTTCTATCACATCTGGTATCTTTTTTTTAAGCAGCCAAACTTGAGGGATTTTTCTGGAGTTGAGAAGGCAGCTCATGAAAGCAAGGAGGGACCAAGAGAATCATCAACCCAAAGCACCTAGAGAAAAGGTTTGATATAGCTTATTGGATAATGACAAATCCACACATAAGATCTGTTAGGTTTTGGCAATCAGCTTTTGCCTAGATTATAATGAGCTCCATTTTACCAAAAAATTCCAATCTGGTTCTTATCTTAAAAGATCAGTAACAGATTCCAAGGCACAGAATCATTATTCAAGTTTCATATACTTCTAGCAAATGCTACATACAGTAATTGATAAAGATGTATGTCTCAACTACCTGCATTCTTACAAAATACACTGTTCTTTCTTCAGGTAGGAGATAAACATCCAGTTTTTTCTGCAAATATTTATTAAAATTTGGTAAATTTTGTAAGATATTTTGCTTAGCTGCAATTGAACATCTCCATCACCAAACATCTCCCACTACTATAACAAAAAAAATATGGTTCCAAATACTAGATGCAAGTGTAATTTTCTGTACAGGTATTCTGCATTACCAGAGAGTAGTTTAATATTGTAGTCATTACTCGATCTTGTCTAGTGTTCTTATGGCAGTTTCACAAATCACTTTTCAGGCTGCACATTTGTGTAATGCAGATAACTATTCTATTTGGAATCAAGTCAAAATAGACAACATTCTGGTATAGGACTTACTATCATAAAAGTCCTAGAGGAATCTTCTAGTGGCATCACTGTCTTGTCAAAGTTACTCCCATCACTAACAGGTGCTGATTTAGGTCTTCTAGAAGGCTTTTCTGTTCAAATATAAATTATAAAAATTGTTAATTTTACATCGTCTCAGCAGCCAAGAAGCAGTTTGGGTGTTATAAGCAAATGTAATTATCAGAATGATAGATAAACTATACTGGATATCTGCATACCTCATGTGCTGTATTAACTTGAAAGCAGTATCTTCAGCTACTCAAGAAGAATTAATATCCAGTTAAGTGTGTTGCCTCAGATATATTATTGCTTGCTATAGTAGCAGAGAGCTACAATAAAGTCATAATAATAAATGTGCTATCTGTATTATATTTTATGTATAGATTCAAATTATAAAAAGGACCTTTCCAAAGCTCTAGGTGCCTAACTCATTTATTAATTATATAATATAATGAAATAACAGCAGAGATAATCATTCCAATAGGAACTCAGCCAGCAAAATACCTACAGAGACTCCTTTCTACCCATTTTGATTTATAGGCAGCTCATCCTTGTCCTTTTCCAAAATAACCCTATAGTATGTGTTCCAAATCTTCCAAGAATGCTGCAAGTGAGGGGAACAATTTCCAGCATCTCGAAACCCTTACAGAACAGAAAATGTCCTTCCAGCTACCCACTCTTTTATGAGGGATGTCCAGCTCAGGCACTGTTGCAGACTGTAGCTGTGGCAACATGGGACCAAAAGAAAGGCAATCTCTCAGGTACATCAGTCTCAAGACAGATAAAGGCTTTATAGGTCGTAAGCCAAGACTTTAAACTGCACCCAAAGACCAACCAACACCCAGTGAAGATCCTAGCATCATACGCTCCCACCAAAATGCCTCACTCAGTAAGTGAGCCACACCATTCTGTACCAGCCTCATTCTTTGAATGATTTTAAAGATGTAACCCCATGTAGAGTGCAAAGCTATGCTTTTGTTAAGACTATTGCAAACATCAGCAAGATTCACATCTGAAAGATTGCAACCTCCTAGCCACACGCCGATGTAAAAACAACAACAAAAAAAACCTGTTCTACTGCTGTAATGAGATAGTCAAACAGCAGCTGGGATCTAAAAAAAAAATAATCACTCCTAAAATGCAAATCTTAGTAACCAATGGTGGATGTATTCCCTCAAATCAAAGGAACCAATTATCTCCAGCTGCTTCCCCACCACCTCTACCTTCACCTCATTCTGATCTGGATTGAGCAGCCAACTCACGGTCATCCATGGCCCAATCTTAATTAGAAGCTATCTGAGTCGCATAATCTGAGTTGAAAATGACAGATATACATTTTGGTGTCATCAGCATACTGAAAACACTTCATGCTTTCTTACTAACCCACCTAATGGCCCCATATATATATATATGTTGAACAGGAGGAGATGACAGAATGGCACCCTGCAACATCCCCCACTTTAGAGGTCTTCAGAAATTGCTTTCAACTACCTCTTTTGTGATTTCTCAGAGAGAAAACAATCATGTCACTGAAGAGCAGTCCTGGGCACTCCCACTAGAGTCTGTAGGCACGAGAACACTATCTGGCGATCAAAACGGTATCCACAGCAGCTGATCGATCTAATACTACTAGCACAGATACCTGATCTTCATCCATTGCCAGGAGATCATTGACCAATGCAGCCTCTGGGCCATACCCAGTTCTGTACCCAGAGTGGGAAGGAGATCAGGGACACATCTACATACTGAGAGAGATGTATCCACAACTTTCTCCACAATCTTATCCAAGACAATATTTATTATTTATCAGAGCATTAAGTCTATTAAACTTTCACATGCATTATACTTTGACTATTTAATACATGGATTGCCTGAGGAAAATAGAGATATTACCAATTGTCAGTTTCTGCAAACAAACATTAAAACTGGCAATTTTCTTTTAAAGAGTTAATAGGATTCTCCTATTGAATAAATGTTTATACCTTTTACTGGTGAATAACCTTTCCCATTCATCTTGCTACTCTTTTCTATTTGAGGAACTGGAGACAGGAACTGGCTTTTTTGAAATCTAGTTGGTGGACTCTGAAAATACATAATCAAGAATTTATTTAGTTCAAGAATGATTTATTCAGCAATGTTATTACAGTGCAATAGCACTCATCAACACAGACCACTTGTCCATAATTTTTATTGCAATGACTGTTAATTATACACTTTTAAAGTATATTGTGGAGAGAAGAAAGACTGAGCTCCTCTTTCCTCTGCTTCCTTACCATGCACAAGCCCAAAATTTTACCTTGGTGCAGTTCACCAGGGATACGTATACTCAGACTACTAAAACTTAAACTAATGTAACTGTGAAATCATTCAGTGAAGACTGGCTGGTTTCACTTGCTAATCTTTGGAGTGCAAAGGCACCAAAGTCAGTTGCAACTGATTTCCCCATTGAACTCCAAAATAATTCAGTTTGAGAGAGCAAGATCCTGGAGAGCATGGTACCTGCATACAGTGAAGATCCAGTTTTATAGGGGCAGTAGAAGTCAACAGCAGTGTACTGTCTTACAACACCAATACACCCCCATTAAATTAAATGAAACATCCAACTGGTCTCTGAATACCAACTGAAAAAAAAAATTCAATGAGCCAAAACTCACTATATATCTGCAAAAATCAGTTTAAAATACCTCAAAACAAGCACAACTTACTACAGACTCTGCTCTCTTCAAATTCATTCCAGAACTTTCAGCTTTCCTGTTGCTTTCAGCAGCTTCTGCTTTCTTCCAAACTTCTAGACGAAATCTTTCCATGATTTTGATCTCTTCCCTTAACTCTGTGTTCTCCTTTGTTAAGGTTTCTATCTGGTTTCTAAGGCGACCGTGAGTAGTTGACCATTTTGCTTCTCTTCGCTTTAAGTCTTCCTGCAAGTCTGCAAGCTGCTGTTTTAAAGCCTTAGAAAAAATAAGTATCAACTGTTTGTAGGAGGATACAAGCCAGTCATTTTCTGCTGTATTAAAACACAGACTAGAGAAAATAGTAATCTTTCATTAGCAGTGACAGCACAGAAGACAGTGACCCAAAACAAGTGAAATCATCTTTGTGTGAAGGGCAGGAAGTGTGTTTTGTTTTCTAAAGACAGGAGTTACTTTGTATTAACTTACTTGATCTCTCTCCCAATCAGGCAGCGAGCTTCATCCCTACTCAGGCCCCTTTACACCAGATAAAAGGTCCAGAGCAGTGTAAAGGGGCTCTAAAAGCCCCTGTTCTGGCAGAGGAAGGATTACCCTGGTACAGGAACTGGAATCCTTCACAAACCTGGCCTCAGGGGCATACTGAGGATGGAGCTGCAGCACTACAGAGGTTCTGGGCAGCCTACAATATTTTAGACAGGTCACTCTCCCAGGGCTGCCTACCTTCCAGCCTCCAGAGCAGCCCAAGATAGGGAAGGTGCTAAGGAGGCTTAAAAGCCAACTTAGCTCACCTTCTCCCTGGGCTGCAAGTTCTGTGTGCAGTGTAACAAAATCTCACCCTAGGTCCTAGGGAAGGAAAAGGACTTTTTCTTAGGAGTGTTCAAGATTGTATTCTTGTCTTTCTTAATTTAAAAAAAAAAAAAAGAGGCAACTTAAGTTTCCCTATCTGTAAAATAAGGATACCGATACCACCTTTGTAAAGCACTTTGAGATCTACTGATGAAAAATGCTATATAATAATTAGGTATCATTATTATACAGAGACGTCTGGCTAGATGGTTTGACAAGGGTTATGCTGCCATGTAGATTATATTTGGTTTCACATTTCAAGCCAAAATATTAACACTGTGAATATATATAAATATGCATAGAAAAAATCCATTGGGCATGATGGGCCAGGAAGCACATCATGTATAGTTACAAACTTAATAGCAAATGAAAGGATTTTTTAGGGCAGCCTAAACAACAACAACAACAACACATTTTCTATTCCTCTTTTTCTCCCCAAACAAGCTCACAGGAGATCAGAAATTAAGTAATTTGAATTAAATAAATTGCAACCTTAGATTGAGTTAACCATATAATAATGGATAATTCAGTCACTAACTATAGTAAGATATTAAAAAGGAAATCCAAAATTCTAAAAGATAGAGGGAAAGAGATCTGAGATACCAAGATTACAATAAACTACATTATTCACCCTAGTAGTGACTAACAAGTCTTATCTTTTTCAAAGCGATAGGATTAAACATGATGGAAATGAGAAGACATGTTTATGCATCAGACACATTATAATCAACATCTATTATGAGATAAAACTGCTTAGAATGCAACAATTATGGACAGAATGATGCTTGATACAGGTTCAATTTTGCATTCAATTCACTACAGTGAATGAATTTGTTTGCAACATACTTATTACAGTAATATTTTGTAACTTGATTTAGGTTTATTGGTTTGATGTCATGTTCTTTGTTAGTGCCATTCTGAACCTTTTTTGTTATGGGAGTCTGACAGAAGGACAACAGTTCTTCAGTAGTGTTTTTTTGTTTTGTTTTTTAAAGCAAAACAATATTTGTGTGAAGCCTGTGATTTTCAATGTGGGAACTACTGATGGATGCCAAGTATCTTGATCTAGTTTGAGAATATATTATATATATATATTCTCTCTTATTGAACCCCTTCAAATTAACAGAATCTACGAATTCCAAATTGCACAACTGTGAAAAGCTGAAATTTCACTCTGAAGATCAGAACAATCTTTAGATTTTTCTTACCTGAATTTCATCACGCTCCTTTTTATCTGGCATCGCTCTAGCTGCTGTGGAATATTTTTCAAAAACTTTACGGTCTTTTTGGAGTTTTCTCGTTTCTTCTTTTTTAACTTCTTCTATCCGAGCCAATTCTTTTTTTTTCTGCTGTTCAAAGTCTGCTATTTCTCTCCTGAAATTACACAAAGTAGCTTATTGTTCGGGAATAGAACAACTTCGAAGTCTGGAGTATTTATTTAGAATTTTACTCCTCAGTAATTCAAAATAGTATCTCCTGTTCCCAGAAAGACTTTCCACTGTAAATAAATTACACACAATATATATTTAGTCAGAAGGATCTCCTCACTGCCACTGCTGAAGTCTTAAGAATCATCTCTGCAGTTCCCACTAACAAGAATCCCCTCCATATTTACTGTTGCTTTGACTGACAACTGGACAGGACCTTTTTTCAGAGACTGCAAATAACATTCCTTAATTGGCAAAAGGGATCACTATCATCCAACATAAGGCATTCCCTCTCCTTCCTCCGTCCCTAACTCTACCCCTTTACCAGCCTACATGTGCCCAGGAAGGTTTTTCCAGGAACAAACATCTGATCAAAAAGACAGCATCAGAGTCACATTTTAGCAAGACACCAGGTAAAAGCATCAAGCTCTGGAAAATCATTCTTTTTTTTTTTTTTTTTTAAAAGATAGTTTTAAATGAGTCAAAGTATATTAAAAAAAAAATCTCCCAACCATATGAGCTTTCATACTGAACAAGTTGGGTATAGCTTTTTTTAAATCATGTTTTGATCCATTTTCTAGAGTAGCAACTTGAGTGATTAATTATACAGTGTAGGCTATTTATTGCATGTTATACATTTAAACTACCTATCGTGTCAAACTTTTTTTACCTAAATCTACACTATTATATTCTAAGAGATGTCAATTACTTACCTATATACTAAATATATCAGGGGTGGCCAAACTGTGGCTCACCAGCCACAGGCGACTCTTATAGTTAAAGTGTGGCTCGCAGAGCCCCTCCATTCTCTACCTACCAGACTTGGGGCAGGTGGAGCTCGGGGCTTCTGCCCAGTGGGAAGGGAGTCTAGGGGCTGCAGCCCTGCAGGAGGCGCCTGCTGGGGCTCAGGACTTCAGCCCCTTCTTCCTGAAGCCCCACGCACTAGCAGGCACCACTCATGGGGCTGAAGTCCCAAACCTCACCACCCTGCCGCAGGGCTGAAGCCCCGAGCAGGTGCCCCCAGCACTCAGACTTCTGCAGATCATCATATGCAGCTCCAAGGATCAGTAACTTTGGCCACCCTTGAAATAGATCTCTAATATTTACTACTACCCAATACTGCTGTGCTTACCTGCAGATTTGCTCATTTGCCTATCTATTGATAGCTCTAACTCAGAGGTGGGCAAACTACAGCCCACGGGACCCTCCTGAGCTCCTGGTCCGGGAGGCTACCCCACAGTCCCTCCCCTGCTATTCCCCCACACACACACACACATACATACACACAGCCTCAGCTCGCTCCGCCGCCGGCGCAATGCTCTGGGCAGCAGGGTTGAGAGCTTCTGGGGCAGCGCAGCTGCAGAGTCCAGCCTGACCCAGTGCTCTGTGCTGCGCAGTAGCAACGGCATGGCTGGCTCCAGCCAGGCAACGCGGTTGTAGTGCCAGCAGCCACCAGTGCTCCAGGCAGCATGGTAAGGGAGCAGGGAGGTTGCATAGAGGGCAGGGGAGTTCGGGGGGGGGGGTGGATAGGGGTCGGGGCGGTCAGAGGGCGGGGAACGGAGGTTGAAGGGGGGCAGTCAGGAATGAGAGAAGGGGTTGGATGGGGCAGCGGGGGTTCCAGGGGCAGTCAGGGGACAGGGAGCGGGGAGAGATGGATGGGGCAGGAGTCCCAGGAGGTGGTGGATAGGGGTTGGGGGCTGGGCCACGACCCCTTCCCCTAACCGGCCCGCCATACAATTTCCGAAACCCTATGCGGCCCTCAGGCCACAAAGTTTGCCCACCCTTGCTCTAACTAAACAAACAGTTAAGGAGATGTATTTACTAAGCAAATAAAATACACTGAAATACTTCCATTGAAAAATTACCTGAGATTTTCTAAGGAGTTCTCTCGTTCTTCACGGAGTTTTGTTAGAGATGCATTTTCAGCTCTGAATCTTTCAATTTCTGTTTCCAATTCAACAAGCTTCTCTCTGAGTACCCGGGATCGAACAATGTCTCCTATCAGGGAACAGGTATACCCAAGTTAAGAGACATTCATACAGAGTGTTGAAGTATACACTAAATTGTCAGATATAAATGATTTCATCAGTTGATCTTACTCTGAGGTATAAATAACTAGTCTCCAAATAATACAGTAGGTGATAAATAAGTCAGTCCTTATCAAAGCAATCTGTGCTTTTTGTTCAACCATCTCCGGTTTTGAATATATTTGTTGTACAGGCACAACAGGGTATGCAAGAAATACAAATTTAAATCTGAATTAGTCTTCAAAATAGAGTAATTCTCATTGAAGTTATGATCAGGGTTCATACAGGGTGGGGGGCATGGAGGGGAGGTGGTCAGGCTCTTCAAAGCTGTGCCCACAAAATAAACTCTGCCCATGCATGTCAGCAAAATAAGACCAACTTCAAAGTATATTATGCAGATATTCAAAGTATGATTGTTCATACTCCCTAGGTTCGGTGAGCTTGGCTCAACCTCAGTAGGTACATCTACCCAAAGAGCAGCAAGCCCCCAGCCCGGGTTGACAGACTCTGGCATTCTCTAGGTTTCTTAAAAAAAATATATAGATAGATATAGGTATATATAGCTGTATAGACAGCTCTTCAAAATAGCAGCTCGGGCTCTGAAGCCTACCCCTTCCTCCCTTGGCTTCAGAGCCCAAGCTGCTACTTCGAAGAGCGGTCTACACTGCTATTTTTTTTTTTTTTTTTTTTTTTTTTTTATAAAGAGTACTAGTATGAGCCCTGCAAGCTTAAGTCTGTTGATCCAGGCCGGGAGTCTTGCTGCTGTGAGCTTTGTAGACGTAAGTAAGGCTCGAAAACACCCATGGGGTCTGTTAGGCTCTTCTTGATTGGAAGTTTTTTTTTTTTTAAATGGTGGTATCTCCTAACCACTTTCCACTTGGGGCACCAAAGTGAAATGGTGCTCAAAGTTTCTTGTGGAGATCTATGATCCTTCATCTCCTTTCTTACATGAGGAATGAAACAGTTAATATTGATGTTTAAATCATTGTCACTGGGCATCTGAATAAACACCTTCCTAAAATTAATGAGGCAGTTCTCTCTGCATTGGTTACACACAGACATTTTTTTAAAATTTCTTCTCAACCAAAACACTAGAGGCTTTAATTTAAAAAAGCAAGCAAGCAGATTCTGGATAACAAGACAAATCTGAATCCATACCCTGTTTATGGTATAAAATTATTTTGCCAGACATTAAATGATCAACAACGTGCTTTTTGTATTTTAGTACGTATCTAGATCAATTTTGCTAAGTATTTTTCCAGTAAGGGTTTGTTAGAATTGCTGAATTTATTCAGGTAGTTAAGAGAAGGCAGATGTGAATACAGATTGAGAACAATGGGGGGGAAAAGTGGCATTACATTTGACAATGTAACAAAGTTGTTTCTAAATCATCTACATACACAGATGTAGTGTTGAGTCCATCCTCCCAGGCCTAATAGCCTACGAAACCGAACAACCCAGGATCTGAACTCTTAACATACAGGCTGCAGTGCATTTTGCTACCACTAAACCATTGATAAAGTCCAGGTCTCCAAAAAACCAAAACAAACAAAAACCACAATAACAAACAATGCTCCCTCACATATTTTTGCATTAGAACAATCAGCTTGTGTACTTAAAAAGAATCCTACTGACCAGCAAATCTAAATTATTAAAATTAGGTTGCTGTAAAGGATGATGAAAAACTATCAAAGGAAATGTAGCTACAAGCCTAAAGATTGACTCTCTAGTAGGAAGAAGAATTGTGCTCTGAAGATTGTTAGGAAGCAGCCAATGGGAGCTGCGGGGGCAGTGCCTGCAGGCGAAGGCAGCACACAGAGCTGCCTGGCCACGCCTCCACCTAGCAGCTGAGTGAGGAGCATGTCGCTACTTCCAGGGAGCCCACCAGGTAAGCGCCGCCCAGGGCCCGTCTCACCCCATCCCATGCCCACTCTGCCCCCTCCCACCACCCAAACTCTGCTGCTGCGGGGGGGGGGGGAAGGGAGGGAGGAGTCACGTAGGGAGCCTGCCAGCCCCGCCAACCCACCAGCACCTGCGGGGATCCCAGGCTGCGCGCTGCTGCCTGCCCTCCTCCCCAGCACCAGCGAGGGTCCCCCCTCCAACAGGGATCCCAAGCCATGCACCGCCACCTGTCCCCCTCTCCAGCACTCAGGCCATCCTCCCCCTCCCCCCAAGTTTTAGTCACAGGTATTTTTAGGAAAAGTCATGGACAGGTCATGGGCCGTGAATTTTTGTTTACTGCCCATGACCTGTCTGTGACTTTTACTAAAAATACCTGTGACTAAAACGTAGCCTTAATTATGAACTAGGTAGAGCTGGTTGAAAATTTTCTAACAAATCGGAGTTTTGTCAGACAACACCAGTTTGTTGAACCCAAAATGTCTCGTGAAACCAGGTCAGATTCAACGAACTTTTGTCAAGTCACTAGTAGGGTTCTGATGGAACCCAGGTTCCCACAGTTGAAGAGCAGCCCTATCACACCAGGGCTTCCAGCCTCCCTGTTGTGGAGCCAGCAGCTCAAAGAACTGGGAACCTGGAAACCTGGGCTTAGGGCTCCTAGGCAACCCCATCTGGATGGACATACCTGGGCCAGAGACCCCAATGATTCTAGACTCTCAGACCAGCTGCCTCTCTGCTGCCCAATTCCCAAGTGGCCAGCCCTCGGAGATGGAGACCCCGGAAGCCCCAGAGCTGACTGACTTCTGAGGTTATTAGCAGTTATGAAAATGAAAAGTGTGTCAAATTACAGTCAGCAGCTTCCAGACCCAAGGAGCGTATTTTGTTTTGGAAATACCAAGTGTTGGTGTTCCCAAAAAAGATTCAGGATTTCCAGTTCGAGACATTTTGGAAAATTTGGTTCTATTCTGATTTGGAACAAAACCAAATTTCAAAGTAGCAAAATTTCTTGCAAACCAGAAATCTCAAATTTCAGCCCACTCTAGAACGAAGTTCTAAGGGCCTGATTCTCCTCTTACTTACACTAGTTTGACAACTGGGGAGAGGGATAGCTCAGTGGTTTGAGCATTGGGGCCTGCTAAACCCAAGGTTGTGAGTTCAATCCTTGAGGGTACCATTTAGGGATCTGGCAAAAATCTGTCTGGGGATTGGTCCTGCTTTGAGCAGGGGGTTGGACTAGATGACCTCCTGAGGTCCCTTCCAACCCTGATATTCTTTAAACACACACTAATTCCAGATTTCATTGACATTATTCATGATTTGCAGCAGTATCAATGAGTGGAGAATCAGACTAAATATTGATATTTGGCATGAATCCCTTTCAGTAACTTCAATTAATAAAATCTACAAATAAAGTGATCTGAGCATCTAGTTAAAAAAAAAATTTTGAAATCATGTCACTGGTCACTTAAACATTTTTTCTAATACTACTGCAAGAGCGCTGCACGGATACCAAATTTGTATCTACATCCAAGCCGTAAAAACGAGTCACGAATATCTGCAGATTTGCACAGCTCTAGCTATTGCTCGTTGCTGATATAGCAACAGTTCAGCACAAGTTTATGACAGCACACACTAAATTCGCATGACGGATAATTAACAGAAACTGCAAGACAACACCAGTAATTTTTTCATTCCTCTCCATTATTTTGATTGCATGTTTTAAGAACACCTAGTGCTCAGTCTACAGTGATGTATGTGTGTTTATTATTCTCTTACCTCCTGGTTCTTCTTGTCCCACATTTGATTTGGTTTCATGCCTTGCATGACAGTCTGGCTTCTGTTTAGGTTTCAGTGAAGGAAAGAGTTTCATCATGAGGTCTGATGTGGGAGGTGTACTTGCATCACCATCTGTCACACTCTGTTTGGGCAAATCATCTCCCTTCTTTATTGAAGCAACCTTCCTCTTTATTGTTTTATCTGGGGCAGCCATTTCACTTTTATTGTAATAGTCAGTTTGTGGAGGTACTTTAATGGTATCATTTTGGGGTGCTTCATGTTGAATCTCATTTTCTTGAAGGTCAGTCCATGTTCTTTCATCATCAAATTCAACCTTATTCCTATTTGTACATGAAACACTTCTTTGAGATTCAGACACTTTGCTATTACTCTGATTTGGTAGCAAACTGGATTCATCACTACTATAATCTTTGTCCGATAAGTCAAGATCAACATCCCTACTTTTGCTTTCTTTGCTGAGGTCTTTGACAGGTCCTGTGCAATCACAGAATGCTGGATTATCTTCTCTGATGCTCAAAATGAACTTTTTAGCATCTTCATTTGCACATTTTAAGGTGGTCTCATGTTCCTCCTCAGACTTTGTAGTAATGACACTGCTTCCATCATCTTTATCTTCATTTACATTCCATTCAGTGCTTTTTAAAGTTGGAGATGCTGTAGTGGAAGAAGTCTGAAATATTTTACTATCTGTTTTATTGAATTGGTCTCTTAGTCTAATAGATGCCCTCAAATCCAAGACTGTATGTGTAATTGCCCTGTTTTTATTTCCTTGTAAGATAATTTCTGCTTTTTTATTTTTGTTATTTATAATATCTAGTGCATTCATCTGCTGCTGCAGCATTGTTTTGACAGGGGTAGAAGACATTCTACGGCCTTTTGAAATTTGCTGATCTCGATCCAAGAACATTTGTACAAATGAGGAATTACTCGAGAAAGATACTTCATCAGCAGCCTGTTCTAGAAACAAAAATTCATCTAATTCTATGTTCTCTTTTTCCTTTTCTTTTTCCCAGTTTTCCAACTTATTTTGGAATGAAAGTTCAAAAGACAGTTCTGGATCTTTTACAGGGTGACTTGTAGAACATTTGGAAAGAGAAAAAGTTTCGGTAAATTCTGTGGACAGCTGAGGCTTTTCTGTATCTGAAAAGATGTCAATTGGCCCGGCAAACTCCATTATGTTTTCTTTATTTTCAAATTTGTTGTTGATTTCTGATCTGAAAGAATCTCTGAACTGTCCAAGATTCTTCTCAGTCTGCAGTCTCGCTGTTGGTGGCGATATATTTTTTCCAATATGATTCTTGAGTACTATGGCCTTCTGAACAGGGAAGACAGAATCATTTGTTGTTTTAGCTGCTCGGTTACATTTTTTAGAGGGTACAGCAAAATTCTCAGAAACCTGTTCCTTGCTTAAAGGTGCAGTTTTCCGCTGTATTTGTGGTCTGTCCACTTTAACAACATTTCTGTCCTCTAAAGTACTTTGCTGAGTCATCAGTTTGCTTTCTTTATACTTAGTTACTTTAGATTTGGCATTAGTGAACCTAGTTAAGCCTTCTCCCCGTTTCAGAAAGGGCCGTCTTGTCAGTAGTTTCTGAAAGGTTGATCTTCCTACTTCCTTAAAAAAACACAACACCACAACATTAAAACTTCCATTATATATTTACATACTTATCTAAGTAAGGCTTACTAATATGTAAAGTTACACAGTACCTGTCCCACTATAGTTTTAAGGAAGGTGAAAATCTTTAAAAAATAGAATTGTTTTTAAGAACTTGAATATTGCATATATAAAGTTGTAAGCTCTTCAGAGCAGGGACCTGTCTTCTCACATGTTTGTAAAGTTGCTAGTACATTTTGGGAAAGTATACAAATAACTGTAGTGTTAATAATAATTAACCTGTTGCTCCTCTTTTTGCTTCAGGCGCTGGTCTTCTAATCGTATCTGTTCTTCAAGGAATTCTTCAAACGTCTGTTTCCTCTCCTGAATCCCAGCTTTAATAGGCCTAGTATAATTTTTTTAAAGTTACAAACACCAATGTTAAAGTTAAATATTTGTTTGACAATGCAATTAAAAATGTAATTGATCATACAACATATGAAAATTATATAAGCAGGTAAGGAATTAAAAAGTTCTTTAGTCATTTAGGTATCCAGTGGCAAAGCTAAAGCTATTTAATTTAAAGAATGCGCTAGATTACCAGCGATTCTCAAAGACAAGCACAATGATATTACAGTAGAACCTCAGAGTTACGGACACCTCAGGAATCCCTGAGTTCTTCTGAATAAAATGCAGCTCCGGCTCCAACAGTTCACACTCTGGGCCAGTTTCCAGAGGCACCTACTTTACCGGCAAGCTTGTCCCCCTCTCAACTGGGATTGGCAGGGGGATGTGAGGGGTGGTGGTGGTGAAGAAAACAGAGCATACCCCCCTCCCAGCCGGTGGGAGGTGGTGAAAACAGCTTCCTCCCTCCTTCCTTTCCCCCCTGGCCGGGGGAGAGGGTGAAAACAGCACCCACGGCTTATAGGAAAGCAGTGCAGACCCCAGTGCTGCTTATGCTCCAGCTGCCTTGGGCTGGCAGCGGAGGTTCACAGCTTTGCCTGCGAATCTCAGCGTCTTCACTTTCTTACTTTCTAGCAGTAAGTTGGTGTCCTGCATGTGGGGGTAGGGGTGGGGACAGGCAGCCCAGATATCCCTACCTTTAAGATGCAATGCACAGTACAGTATTTGCTTTTTTTTTTGGTCTCTGCTGCTGCCTAATTGGTTACTTCTGGTTTCACGTGATGTTCGGTTGACGGATCAGTCCGTAACTCTGGTGTTCATATCTTTGAGGTTCTACTGTACTTTATCACGTTTGTTTTAAGTAACCATGAAAGGCACGTGTGATGCATGGCTAGAAAGGGTTAAACATCCTGCAAAATAAATAACCCACAGAAGACATGTGGGGAGATAATATTTGTGGTTTTGTGTGTTTACATATGTATGAGTAGGGTGGACGATATATTCAACAGTCCCTGTCTATGCTGTATTCTGATAATTCAGAGGTCAAAAGAACATCCTATCATGTAAATGAATTGTAAACATGGGATATCTCAGTATTCATCTCTCTTTGAAATGTACTGTGAATGGTGGAGGAACAAGCAAACCCTTATGTTAATTCGTATAGCTAAGTACCAGTGATGGACCTCCTTCAAAGTCATCCTAATTACCTTTTGTTCCCTGAGGAATTCCAACTTGTCAAAAGACATGAAATTGTATAAAAGATCCTTGGGTCCTGATTCGGTCATCTCAGATCTGCTTAGACTTCATCAGGGGAAGTTTGAGTTGCAAGACTGAGGTCCCAGTTATGCTGGTACGCCCTGAATATGAGATTTGGACATTGGACTGTGACCTATGAACTGAATTCTAAAGGAACTCTTTGCAACTACAAAGCTCACCATCTCTGCTGTGAATCTGAACCTCAATGAATTGAACTCATGTCTGTATATATATTGATATTTTAACCATACTCTCTCTTGTTTTTTTAATAAATTTTAGTTTAGTTAATAAGAATTGGCTGTAGCATGTATTTGGGTAAGATCTGAAACATTCATTAACCTGGGAGGTAATGTGTCCAATCCTTTGGGATTGGTAGAACTTTTTCTTTTATATAATGAAATAAGACGTACAGAAATTATCATCATATTTGATGTGGGTACCTGGATGGAGGCCTGAGGCTGGATCACTGTAAGGGAATTGTGTTGTTTGGACTTCTGAGTAACCAGTGAGGTAATAAAGAAGCTGTTTTATGCTGGCTTGGTAAATCTAGGTATTGGAATATCCACCAGCTTTATGGGGATTGTCTGCCCCATTTTTTTCCAGTTCACCCTAATTGAGTGACCACAGCTGGCTCCCCACTAGGACCTTAGTCACAGCACATCTAAATCTTGCTGCTGCTTCTTACACTGGATGTCAAAGATCTTATCCTTCCACTATGCCAAACTCTTATCCAGGCCCTGGTCATGTTCCAAATGCCTACACTGCTATAAACATCCATGGCTGGCCCATGTCAGCTGACTCGAGCTCATGGGGCTCAGGCCGCAGGGCTATAAAATTGCAGTGTAGATGTCCAAGAGTGAGGAGGGGTCCCAGATCCTGGGTGACAACCTGAGCCCAGACATCTACACTGTAATTTTATTGCCCCGCAAGCTACAGTCAACTGACATAGGCCAACTGCAGGTGTTTTATTGCAGTGTAGACATACCCCTTGTGTCTTGACTTCTCCAATTTTGCACTGAGGGCATTCAAAATGCTATTGTTAAGGTCATCTTCGTAGCCTGTCACTCTGACTACATCACCCCTCCTCTTTCACTTCATCAAACACAGACTTCCTGTCCATGCAAGCATGGACATGCACAACTTAGCCCTGTTCTATTTAACCCTACGATCATTTTGGTTTCGCTTCATCAGTAATGCCAGTCTTTACCACCCATTAGTCCATTTTACACCCCCTCCCCTGCCCCCACACACAAGAGAGACTCCCTATCAAAAGGTATAAAGCCATCACCTTATCCTCTTCCACATCTCTCCTTCAGACTCACCTCTGCCATGATGCTTACAGAAAAAGGCCATCTGATAATAGCTATGCCAGAGAAAGTTGTGATTACTGCTACTGGATTGACTCATTACAATTATAGTTGTGCACACAGTAAAGCTATGCCAAAACATGATTTTGGTTTACCATTACCTTATCCCTACACATTTATTTCATCCACCTGTTATGCCACACCATAAGACTTTAGGGGCAGGGACTTCTTTTACCATATCTCTGTATAATGCCTATAACAATGGGGGCCCACTTGGTTTAAAATTTAATATTTGTGTTTGCGTGGTATCTAGAAGCCCCAACCACTTTCAATCAGGTCTTAGAACTTGGTCAAAAAAGATTGGATAAAACTATTACTTATAAGCTTACATTTACCTTTCCTCTATGTTAGCTGCTTGTAAGCATTTTCTTCCATTGGGACTTTCAGACAAATCTACATTTCTTGAACATAAATGATCAGCGTCACTGTCTTCACCTCCAACAGACTTTTCCATCTTTTGTTTTGGACACCAAGTGCTTTCTCCTATGAAATGATGGATAGGAGTCTTTTTTTCTAATGTGGAACCAGTTTTCAGCTTGTACTTTAAAAACCAGGAACAACATTCAGAGGCAATTCACAGATTACAAAGTCAAAAGGGACTATTGTTATTTAGTCTGACCTGGGTAATACAAAGCCATGAGACTTCCCTCAGTTAATTCCTGTTTGAACTAGAGTGTCTCTTTTAGAACATCCAATCTTGAATTAAAAATTTCCAGCGTTGGAGAATCCACCACAACTCTTGATAGTTGTTCCAATGGATACTTACAGTCATTTAAAAATTTGCACCTTGTTTCCATTCTGAATATGCCTAGCTTCAACTTCTAGCCATTGGATTCTGGTATACCTTTGTCTACTAGGTTGAAAAAACATCTATTATCAAATTCTTATCTCCACTTCTAGACTATGATCAAGTCACCCCTTAACTTCCTCTTTGATAAACTAAATAGATTGATCACTATAAGGCATGTTTTCCAATCTCTTAATCATTCTGTCTCTTTTGTGAACCCCCTCCAATTTTTCAACCTCCTTCTTGACTTGTTGGCACCAGACCTAGACACAGAATTCCAAGAGTGGTCGCACCACTGCCATATACAGAATATAATACTACTACTCAATGTTCCTATTTATACTTCCAAGGCTCAAATTAACTCTTGACCACAGCATCATGCTAGAAGCTCATGGTCAGTTGATTATCCGCTGTGATCCTAATACTCCAATAGCAGAGTCAGTTCTTTCCAGGATAGAGTCCCCCATCCTGCAAGTACAACCTACATACTTTGTTCCCAGATGTATGACTTTATATTTGACTGTACTGAAATGCATACTATGTGCCTGCACGCAACTTGTCAAGTGATCTAAGCACTGTGTATCAGGGACCTGTCCTCTTCATTATTTACCATTCCCCCAATTGTGTGTCATCTGCAAACTTTATCTGTAATAATTTCATGTTTTCTTCCAGCTCATTGACAAAAATGTTAAAAAGCATGAGGCCACAAGATATAAAGGGCCTGATCTTGCTGACATTGAAGTGAATGGCAAAACTCCCATTGGACTTCAATAGGGGTAGAATTAGGCCCATTGGCTGACAAATATATAGCCTAGTGACAGGCAACTAGGATTTAATTACCATCAAGTGATCCAATAGTTAACAGAAAATTAAATGTTTACTGTAGCCTAGGAAGATACTAAGATCAATAACTATGAAAAGACTCCAACTCTAGAAAATTCTTTCAATAAATTTAACTAACCAGTAGTATTTTTGTGGTCCTCGTTCTTCAAATCGTTTTGCATTTTCAGAGATGCATCTAGACCAGGGGCTCTCATTGCACCGCTACCCACTTCTGACAAAAAATTACTACTTGACCTCAGGAGGTGGGACCGAAGCCTGAGCCCGGCGGGGCCAAAGTCCCAGTGCCCCAGGAGTGGGGCAAAGCCAAAGTCCTTGCCAGTCCTCAGGCTTTGGCCCCAGATACTGGGGTTTTGGCTTCGGGACCCTGGCACGAGCAAGTCTAAGCCAGTCCTGGTAACCCCATTAAAACGGGCTCGCGACCCGCTGATCTAGACACTGTTTCTCACTGATAGAATCTGAAGATAAACTGCTCTTTAAAGATAAGAAGCATTCCTTGTTGTTTAATTTTTGTAGTAATTTACTCTTGTGTACGTGAAGAAACAAAAAGAAAAATCATCCAGGATCTGAGCACTATCTCCACTGAGATTCTGGTACACAGGTGGTGGCAAGTAAGGCACAGTGTTTGAACTAGCTGGATGTCCATATCGTTGACTCAGATCTCCTGACTTTTGAGCAGAGTCTTGAAGGGGGAGGGGAAAAAATGCATTATGCTTTGTATTTCCATTACAATATTGTCGTCTCTGCGAGGAGGAGACAGCAGCTCCAGAATTGGATTGGTCAAATGGACCCCTCCCCCTAGAGTTCCTGGCAGGAACAGGTGCTTTTACACACATCTGGCCAGTCTGTAGCTAAAGGTTTTTTTTCTTCCCCTCCAGATGAAGCCTAAGGTTATTTCTGTGGGGTGGGGAAGAGTGAAAAAAGGCACTTTGGGTCAACAGTGATGAAGCAGGTTTTCTGAGATAGCTGAACAGAGAGAAGGGAAAGGGATATGTTTGGAGGGAAGGGGGGAGTTTAAGATTCACTTTTTTAAATTTTGTTTTTATCACTATTTTTCTGTTTTTTCTATTTAGACTAAGTTCTCCAAGGCAAGGGCCCTATCATGCTACATGTTTGTACAGCACCAAACACAACAAGAACCCAGTCCTGGTTGAGGTGTTTGGATGCTACCGTAATATGAATGTTGATTAGTAGTTTTTAAAATATTATTTTAAATAATGCAGTGTTTACCTGGGACTAATCCAGTAGTTTTGTGATATTGTGTGAAACGGTACTCAACATTTTAAATAGAATATTAAAATTAAAGTGTTCCGTTTCCTTAAGGTATACTGTATGCTTTACTTCTCCACTTACCAGGGAGTCCTTGATGGCCAGATACCATGATAAGTAGTTTCTTTTGCTCTTCCATAAGCCTTTGAAGTTGTTCCATCTGTTGCTTCTTCAGCTGTTCTTGTTTCTGCTGTTGTATTTCTTTTAGCTTTATCAAGTATAAAAACCAAATATGTTTGAAGTCAATAGTTTTCTTAGAATCTGAGAATAAACTAGCATGAAATGCTTTTTATATTTCTTGCATGAAGATGCTTTATTATAACAAGTGGCATTTGAACAGGATGTAAACAAGCTATGTTAAAACTAAGCCCTACACTCACTAATAGTATATTTTTAAACAAATTATATTGAAGGTATTTCCTCCAGTGACCAATTCTTTAATAGTTCCACTAGCCTTTAAATGGACCAACTTGTAAATTATATAGAAAACCCCACCTTGAAGACTTTGAGAAATTTTTTTGAAAGATATCAAGATTTGACTAATATTTATGTTTGTACTAGTATCTTTTTATTAAGATTTGAAATATCTAATGAAAATAAAATCCTTATCATAGGAATTCATCCTGTTGCTCATTTCTTATTTGAAGTCATAATATAACATGTGACATCTCAGTTAGTTACAGCAGAAAAGGCTTTGATGCAACAGAGCAAATGAAAAACAAGAAGCACTAAAGAACATTTAGAGTTATAATGCCCCAGTGAGGCAAGGAAGTTTTATACTGATTAAAGTACAGAGGTACTAAGTGACTTAACCATGGGCCCCTAATTGCCACCCTTACATAATAGTGCCGTATTCCACAGGCAATCCCATTGAAAACAAAGAGATTACTTGCAAAAGTAAAATACTACTCAAACGTGAATAGAGGTGACAAATCACACACACACACACACACACACACACACACAGAGTTAGTGGTCAAGTTGAGAACAGATTCCAGGTCCTGACTCCAACTCTTGTATTCTTACCACTAAGTTGTACTTCCTCACAAAGTGTTCTATTCTCATGCTGGTGTCTTCGTTAAATAAACAGGAAAGTAACCACCTCCAAAACATATCACAACTCATGCACACAGGCAGTCAGAATGGTTTCGAAGGGCTTGGCTACACTTGCGAGTTACAGCGCAATAAAGGAGCCCCGGGCGCACTAGCTCACTACCCGTCCACACTGGCAAGGCACGTAGAGCGCTCTGACTCCGCAGCTACAGTGCTGCTGGTACTCCACCTCGGCGAGTGGAATAACGTTTGCTGCGCCCCCACTGGAGCGCCGCGGCACCAGTGTGAACGAGGTGTTGCATTACTGTGCTTTGATTGACCTCCGAAAATGTCCCATAATCCCCTTAAATCAAGTGGCCACTGTTGTCATTATTTTGAACTTGCTGTAGGAATGCGGATATGCCCTTTCAAAGCTCCATTTCTGACAGCTGGCTGCTTATCTGCTCCGGGACAAAGGAATACTGCTTGCTTTGAGTGAGTGAGAGAGAGGCGGGGGGGGAGAGCAGAAGGTCTGCTGCTGTCTGAACTTACAATACAGCATGCTGACACACTCTCAGCCCCCCAAAAACCCACTCGCTCTCCCGCCACATACACACAACACACTCCCTGTCACACTCCACCCCACCACACCCCCAGATTTGAAAAGCATGTTGCAGCCACTTGCATGCTGGGATAGCTATCACAATGCACTGCTCTTTGTGGGGTTGCAAGAGCTGCTAATGTGGCCACGCCAGTGCGCTTCCAGCTGAGAACGTAAACACTCGGCAGCGTTTTCCCTGCTGCAGTCTCTGAAGGCTGGTTTAACTCCCAGCGCTCTACAACTGCAAGTGTAGCCATGCCCTAAATAGAACATCAATGCTTTTAAAGAGGCATAAGGTGCTCTTTAAACCATCAACAATTCCTCTTTAAATATCAAAATTACATATAGTCTTTGCACCTCACCATTATTCCATATTGGTGATGTATTCATTTACTTATTCATATGTAAAATACTTTTGAAAAATACAGTTTTGTGGATGAGTTGTGACATTTTGATCTGGAGTGTCTCATTTTATTTTCAATGTTATCAAAGAGGGCTTTGTTTTCATAATAATCGACTCCAATATTTTATCTACCTAACCCAAATTAAACAAAAATTATAATCAAATAGTAACTCAAATAGCTTCCAAAAGCTGCATATTCCTTTATTCCTCATTCATCTTTAGTGAAGAAGTATTGTACATAAAAAAAAATTTAACAGCACTTTGAAAACGTGAAGTCTACTCCAGACTCAAAAGATTCATCTTCTGTTCACAAATTTTATCTGGATTATCCACGTCTGGTTTTATAATCTTTTCCGTCATCTAACTTTGACAAACTTAAAAATAAGCTGTTAGTGCATGTCCAAACAAAGCTGCGCACCCCGTATGTGATCACATGTAGGTGATGTAATCAGCTGTATGACTCAATCCTAAGGTCCCTGATCCTGCCATGGCATCTACATGAGTGCAGCCCTATGCCCACACAGCGGCAGAGTATGTCATTTCAGGACCAGGGTATTGGTTTGGCTTCTTCCTCGCCAGATGCAAAAATACTCAGATGGAGAGAGATTTTAAAGCCAAATATATTGGTATATAAATTTTCTAAGGACTAACAGAATATTTTGCTATAGAAGAAATCGATAACAAAACTGAAAACCTTCACTGTCTCTCTTTACCTTTCGGATTTCCAATCACACTTTAGCATAACATTTTAGTATTACAGGTTTTTAAAACTGCATCGTTTTCTCTCAACTTCAGTGGGACAAATGATGGAACATTCTAAAATAGCTGAACGAATAAATACACTTTCACTTAAAGCAATTCACTTTCAGAGTTGGGGGAGGGATAGCTCAGTGGTTTGAGCATTGGCCTGCTAAACTCAGGGTTGTGAGTTCAATCCTTGAGGGGGCCACTTAGAGATCTGGGGCAAAAATAGTACTTAGTCCTGCTAGTGAAGGCAGAGGGCTGGACTCGATGACCCTTCAAGGTCACTTCCTTTTCTATGAGAGAGATATATCTCCATATTTATTTTAAAAAAATGGTTTGGCCCTCAATATTGAGTATAATGAAGAAGAGAGAGCTAGATTAATGATCTATTGTGATTTGGAATTCGCTCTTTAAACTAGCATTGTTCTGAAAGCAAGCAATACCTCTTGCCATGTTTAGGTAGCTGCAGTCACCCTTGCAGTTAACAGAAGATGTAATTATAGACTATAACAAGAAATCCTAATGAATGCATGTCAAGGGAAAAAATGTTTTTTTACCTGTTCAAGCTTTTGTAGAAGTGGATCGCTGTAATCTGCTTCATTCTGATCATCCCCCTCATCACATACAGAGTCAGTTTTAGGGGCTTTCCACAGAGCAGGAGCATCTTTAAGTGTTAACGTGGGTTTTTTCTTGACCAAATGAAATGCTGCAACTGGAAAAGTTGTTTCAGTTGTATTTAACTGAAGTCCACAAGGGCAGCCAGACTCCAAGATTTGTTCTTCATGCATGGAGTCTTCACTTATAGAACTGCTGTTTGAAACATGCAGCATTTTAACTGGGTGATTTATAATGTTTACAGCTCCAGATGACTGTCCATCTCTATTCGTTTTCCAAATATGGAAACTAGGATTTAGTATATCTCCGGAACAGGAAGCATTGGACATCCAGTGTATGATAACATTTTGTTCACTATTTAAATCTGCAGCAGTGCCCATCTGGAAAAATGTATTTCAATTTAATCTGTTATGCAAGCAGCAGTACAACTGGCAAAGTAACATCTGTTGGGTTTGGTTATCAACTTTAAAAAATATTTCCAGGTATTGAAAGTTACACGTGAAAAGAATAAAAAAGCTGTTAAACGTACCTACAAATAATACATAAAATTGCTTACAATCCACTCAACATATTTATAAAACTGAATCCTGGTGTATTGTTCCTAGTACAATAGAATCCACTTAAACAACCACTTGCTGAGGAATACACATTATATAAAGCAAAACAACCAATGAAGCTTTTAAATATAGTATCAATTGCAATCAAGTAAATGAATAACATTCCAAATATGCCAAAAGATACAGCATATATAAGCAGTGAATCAAGTAACATATTTAGAGTGATGGAGCTCTGAGATTTTTAAATAGGGCCCCCAAGAGTGGGAAGAGAAAAAAATCATTGAGGAGCTGCTAAGAAGACCTATTTGGCATTCATTTTAAGGCAGTGTTTAAAGTCTCTCTATCTAGATATGGTGAATTTTACTGTTTCACTGAAAGTAAAACACTTAAAATCTTGCTCATTTTTTGAAAACACTTCATTCGGGTCCTAGTTTTTGGCTACTCTTGTTCAAGGTACAACGTATTCTTAAGCCTACACCCTGTTGCAGCTTCTGAATTGCAATTGGATTGCAAACTGTTACAACAACGGGGCAAGACAGGGACGGGCGAGTTCACACTCGGGCAACCACAGGGGGCGACAGGGTTTCCCAGACTACACACGTCACGCCAGGACAATTCCAGCCAGGGAGTTTTCCAATAGTTCTACAAAGCAAAAGTCATTTTTCCATGAGAAGTCGATGCTTTTAAAAGCGGTCTTTAGATGAACGTACAAGGAGACCGTCTCCCTCTTGACAAACAGGACTTGGCAGGTGGGACGTCACACCACAGATGTGAAGCGGGTGGGCAGCAAGCCTGGCAACCCTCCCCTCAGACACTCAAGCTACAGCGGCATTCGCCCGCATCACCTGCAGCATCCCCCGGGACACGGGCCCTGACACAACCACTGGGTGCGAGGGACTCACCACAGCCCCTCTGCCCAACACCCCCCCACGTCTCGACTGCTACAAGCGAGGGACACCCCGCCCCGGGGCCCAGCGCCTGCCCCGCCCCAGTGGTGTGCGTACTTCAGCATCACCCCCGTGAATACTGGGGTGGGCACAACAGCCTCCCCCCGCCAGGAACCTCGCCCCTCCCTCAGACCCCTGCGGGGGAGGGGGCGCGAAAGCAGCCCCTCCCAGGAGGGGACCGCAACAGCTGCTGCCCCCGCCCAACACCTCACCCGCAGCCCTGCGCGCCGAGGCAGTTACTCCGCGCGACCCCCACCCAGGCAACCGCTGAGCCGAGCGCGGCCTACGCCCGGCTTCCTCATATCCGACGCGCCAGCAGCTCCTCGGCCCAGCGCCCCCCGCCAGCTCCCTTTACAAACCTGCCGCCATCGTGCCGCCTCCCAGCGCCACAGGCTGGACAATGCCGGGCCCGGGGCATTGTGGGAGTTGTAGTCCCAACTCGACGACTTCCTGTCCGGGCGGCGAGGGAGGCTTCGGCGTTCGAACTACAGCTCCCGAGAGCCTCGGTCAGCAGCCGGGACGTTATTGGGCTTCAATGGTAAATCTCGAGCTCCCCGCCCCCACCTTCCCCGGCCTGTGGCAGTTAGAGGGCGGGGCTGAATCATCAGTCACCGTCTCCTCCCCAACCGCTGCCGCCCTGGGCTGTGGCTGGGGAGCTCCCCGCCGCTATTCCCCTTCAGGCACTCGCTGCCCTCCCCACAGGGCGACCCCTCCCCACCTGCCAGGTTGGGGAGGTGACTATGAGCGATGTTGAGTCTCTGGCTTTTAGGGGCCGAGGGTTTCTCAGGACAGCCTGCGACATCTCCGCACTGCTGGCCAGCCACAGCCGGTGTGCTGCCCTTGCCAATGCCACCGGCTCTGCAGTCTTGTAAAATAGCATCAGATATAATCATAAACTGAGGCATGGGCCTGCCAGGGTGGACTAGGAGGCGTTAGAGTCGTGTTGGGATTCCCTTGAATGTGGGTGCATGTTATTTTCCTAGGGTGTGTGCGTGTTTGTTTAATAACAGTCTTTGGTGTCAATTGAACAGGGGTGGGGAAGCAGGAGGGGAAAGGGCAGGAGGAGTAAACAAAAGGGGAAGTGTTGGGCTTTGTAAGTTTCCCATTTTAGGCAGGTCTGTGAACACTTTTGGTTTCCAGGTAACAAGCGCATTAGGTGACCAACCCTCAGTTCCAGCAGCAGGTGACTCACCATTGTGCACCCAGCAGCCAATGGTACATAACAGGCTGGGACTTGAGTACTTGTGGCACCTTAGAGACTAAGGGTATGTCTACACTACGAGGGTAATTCGATTTTACTTAAATCGAATATGTGGAATCGATATTGCAAAGTCGAACGTGTGTGTCCACACTAAGGACACACTAAGGACAGTAATTCGACTTTGTGAGTCCACACTAACGGGGCGAGCGTCGATATTGGAAGCGGTGCACTGTGGGCAGCTATCCCACAGTTCCCGCAGTCCCCGCTGCCCATCGGAATTCTGGGTCGAGCCGCCAATGCCTTCTGGGTAAAAAAAATTTGTCGTCATCCGTCTGTCACTAACGCCCTCCCTCCCTCCATGAAAGCGCCGGCGGGAAATCAGTTCGCGCACTTTTCTGGTCAGTGACAGCGCGGACGCCACAGCACTGCGATCATGGATCACGCTGCGACCATCGCTGCACTTGTGGCCGTTCTCAACACCTCGCAGCTTATCATACACCTTTCCCTGAGGCAGATGCAGAGAAATCGGGCGAGGAGGCTACGGCACCGCCGTGAGAGCCTGAAGTCGGAGAGTGGCACAGAGCTGTCAGAAACCACGAGCCCCAGCGCCCAGGACATGACGTTGGCAATGGGGCATGTGGATTTTGTTGAACGGCGATTCTGGGCCCGGGAAACAAGCACGGACTGGTGGGACCGTATAGTGCTTCAGGTCTGGGATGAATCCCAGTGGCTGCGAAACTTTCGCATGCGGAAGGGGACTTTCCTCGAACTTTGTGAGTTGCTGTCCCCTGCCCTGAAGCGCAAGGACACCCGCATGCGAGCAGCCCTCACTGTCCAGAAGCGAGTGGCCATAGCCCTCTGGAAGCTTGCAACGCCGGACAGCTACCGGTCAGTCGCGAACCACTTTGGTGTGGGCAAATCTACCGTGGGGGTTGTTGTCATGCAAGTAGCCAAGGCAATCGTGAAGGTACTGCTCCCAAAGGTAGTGACCCTGGGAAACGCGCAGGTCATCATAGATGGCTTTGCCGCGATGGGATTCCCAAACTGCGGTGGGGCTATCGATGGGACTCACATCCCTATCCTGGGACCGGACCACCAGGCCAGCCAGTACATCAATAGAAAGGGCTACTTTTCAATGGTGCTGCAAGCACTGGTGGACCATCGGGGACGGTTTACAAACATCTACGTCGGATGGCCGGGCAAGGTTCATGACGCTCGCGTGTTCAGGAACTCTGGTCTGTTTAGACGGCTGCAGGAAGGTATTTACTTCCC